ATGTGTCACCCGTCATGATATGTCTTGTCACAACATGTGGTACCCATCATGATTTCTCTTACATAACAATAGCAGAACTAAATGTCGAAATGGAATAACAGAAGCAGAAACCGATGGGACACCAAAGAAAAATGACACCCGTCATAACGTCTCCCATCACCTTACGTGGCACCCGTAAATGATTTCTGTTGTCACCACATGTGGAACTCGTCAAATATATCCTTTGATCAGATGTGGCACCAGTCATTATGTTGTCTCCTGTCATCATATTTGGCACCAGTCATGATGTATCCTGTCACTACATGTGGTTCACGGCATGATGTCTCCTGTCAACACATGTGGCACCCGTTATGTATCCTGTCATCATATGTGATACCCGCCATGACGTCTCCTATCGCCACATGTGGTACCTATCATGATATCTCCTCTCACCACAAGTGACACCCGTAATGAAGTCTCCCGTTGAAAGTATATCTAGGTAACCAAAGGTATAAGATAACATAGATATCTTAAGGTGGAAAGCAGGTCATGATGACGATTATAAACTTCGACTTTGTGTCTAATACAACCTTCATAAGGAAAATGTTGGTTGATTGATTCAGGACATCAAATTTGGCACAGTTGTAAAATTAACAGCACAATTAGTTGACACTGCTATTTTCTTCACTATGGGATTATATTATTATTTGAAAGTTTTAAATGCAGATGAAAATATTTGGACGAGAACTAATTATTAATGATATATAATTTCTTAACTTTTGTCTTCGAATCCATACCATTTCCCTTTACTTTTTGTTTTTCGTTTAAGCGGAAATATAATGTAGGAGAAAACAGCTTCTGGAAATCACACCTTGTACCTAAATGATCGCATTCCTGTACATATGACATTTCCGCGTACTTTATACTTCTAATATATATGTAAATACGGATCATTCATTAACTTGCCTACAAGCATGTATAACCCAATCACTGCAAAGTACTTCAAAGCACCTGCCCGTGCCATGTGTTTTGTAGCATAAATGACGTACTGTATTTAATCACTTTTAATATGACATTGGTGATCATAGCCTGGTGAATAGTCCAAATTACAGGTGCACGAACACCTAGCTCAGGAGCTACAGGAATGTCGCCCTCCTGCTAGGATGAAAATTATGTTCTCCTTAATGTCTTCATACACATCGTGTTTATATAATTCCAGATTGTTTACCGTACATGGTGAATTGAGGAGTAAATTCCCAAACAATCAAACATAAATATATAGGGAATTAGAAATATGTTATCCCTACGATTATACCTTAATACCTTTGAAAAACGCCTTTTCCTGGTGTTAATAATAAGTGTATTTCCCACACTTAGTCGGTTATCTGTTCAATAACTCATTCACCCCTGAAGACACATTTGAACTCTTCCAATTCAAAGGTTGGAATAGTTAATAATGAAATTTCAGGGGTGAATGGGTTAAATATATGTTCTCACATATTTTCGTTATTGATATTATAATGTTTACTTGTTATTAAGCTTAAAAAACTCTTAAAGTACACTAGCAGTGCGATATATGAAGTTTTTCTTAGTGTTATAAATTTCCTCAAAATTCACCTTTTGTTTCTGAGCCTATATCAGGGCCATGCATGTTCTAAAAGAAGAATCTACTATCAAATTAAGGGGTTCCCATGTTTTACCTATTCCTCGGCACGTACAATGTGCAATAACATACATACATTCATACACAACCATATATTACCTGTAAGTTATTCGAATGAAACATATAGAAATCGTGTCAGGTGTAAGTTGTGTGATATAATGCTAGCCTTATGGCAGATTATTAGCATGTGTCCAGCATAGGTACAAAACTGCAATTCATTATTAATACTATTACCATTATCTGTCACTCACATACTGGCATATAATGTCTTTGGGGCAGCAGCTAGGATTTAAAAAGAGCAAGATAATTGTTTTCTCATCTAATTGCTAATCATATGTATACAATAAGTGCGCTTACTTATAAACAAACAGGAGTATCCCCAAAATAAGTTTAAAGTCAAACAGGATATTATCGTCTTTTGGTCCCCTACGTCATTCACATTTACATTCATTTTTTCAAAAATTGTTTTTCTTTGATAATGATTAGGTCAGATTTTTTTTCACGCCGTAGTCGCAAATATTGGTGTGTAATTTGGCAAAGATACGTAACCTGTCGAGAGATTTTCCGTCTCCTGCAGAGGTAATTTATAACCCGCTACTATGTTCGTATGTGACGCTATATACACACAATAATTGGCAATTAGAGATTAGTTTTAAGATGGATTGACCACAGTTTGAAATACAACCTGCTTCTAAATTGGCAATGTCCCTTATTTAGAGAAAGTTGTTCTTGATTAATAGCGCAAATGTCACTTTATATAATAGATATGCTAAATTTAGAACATGACTCATATCCTATTTATTTTTTATATAAATTTAATAACAAATCTATGATTCATCTTGTAGATCAACGTTAAGAATATTGTTAAAGTAAAACAGAATGTAAACTTTAAATCGAAATTTCTCAGTAATATTTTATAAAGACTAACCTAAAGCGTACCATTAAAATACAACAGAATAATATAGCTCAATGCTAAATCCGAACCATGCTGTCTATCATATATACAAGAACAAAGAATGAAATAATAATACACAATTCCCAAGTGTTTCATAGTTACAATGTTTGATAGACATTCACAAAATGGTAATTACAGACTGTAGCGAACATTACTTATTCTATAATGCACAAACTCGAGTATATCAACGTAAGCTAACAATGCTATTAAGTAGATGGAAGGGAAATTGGAGAAAAATCACGTATACCATAGCGTTAACATACAGGAAAAATCAGAACACGATACGATATTAAAAGACACAGATATAAATGACTTCATAAGCTGTCCATAAAAGACAAGAGTCTAAAGCGGGTCCTCTAGAGCAGTAATTAAACTAGTCCGAAAGCACATATAGCACCCATGATGTATACCGACAGTCGACAGACACTGACAGAGGGTAGGTGACTCTATTGTAAATTAACAATCGACTTCCAGATTGTCCAAGGATGTCTGGGTGCAGGAAATGTTATTTTGGTATAGCTTGTCGATAATTTTTAACACGTAATGCCATTTTTTATGTGGCAGAGAGTGATTTCCGAGATGATATACAACAACAGTTGATATAGCGCCCTATCTAACTAGAATAAATCACTAGAGTGGTCGGGTGGTGCAGTGAATAGTACAATTGCCTTTCCCCAAGGCGGCCGGGGTTCGATTCCCCGATCGGACATAAAAAGGTATGGGGTCAACTGCCCGACCACGTGGGTTTTCTCCGGGTACTCCGGTTCCTCCCACATTAAGACCCCCACGCGCTAACATCCGGGCAAACAAGAGTGATCAATATAAGTTGAAATAACTTGTTTCATAATTGTTGCAAAATGAATAGAGTTTAGAGGAGAATAAACCTCTCTAATGTGTCCTACAGTAAATAAATGAACATAAACATTAATCATTACAATTTGTGGAGAAATTTGCCTTATCAGGTCCTATGCCACCAGGCTGATATCTCCATATGTGTGTATGCCTGCGTGTGTGCTGGAGATGTATTGGGTTCTGTTTGTAGTGGGACCGTGGTTTCAACGGCATCATTTATAGTGCCACCTCACTTGAATGCTACAGCACAGATAACGCAACACCCACCCCGGACCATTGTATATTCCTCCTGGGTTGTTGAGTCACTAACATAAGGTTCGTAATGTATCGTAAATGTACCTTATTTGTTCCATCATTTACGTTATACTTGATAGAATTGATTACTAATTTATTTCTTATTTTTAGTAACGTGACGTGCATAATTCGTATGTATAGTGAAAAGATACATGTAACATCATATCGTTCTTAGTTCATAAACATGCATGTATTTGTTGTTCAATCGACTACATATCGTCTGTGTAATAAATACATTTATACTTGTTCACATTAACTAATATTCAACTATAGATTAGTTAAAACTGTTTCCTTTTAATTAATCTACAGCCAAAGTAAATGTTAAACAGCAGGACCAAGGTAAGATATGAAAAGTAATAAAGAAGGATGATGCAATCCAGGTCTGAATTACCCGTTCAGCAGTGACTACGGATACATTTTTGGTAATGTAGTTTCAGTATCAAGTTCTAATACGTGCTTAAAAAGATCAGAAAGTTGAGTAGTGTTTTTTTTCTCTTGTTCATCTCAATGAAGCAGTTTTAGTCCAAGAAATTGAGCGAAGGGTCAAGGCTGTTATGTGGGCGTTACAATACCAAATCTTTACCTACTTTCCAGCAGTCCTGCTTTGGCTTATATTTTGGCAATTGCTTTTCACTGTTTCGCAGGGCCCACCTGTATAAAACATCTCAAAGTTCAGGAAAATCTCAAGCAATGTATTGTCTATGGGAAATCTTAAGATTTGAGAAAATCTCAAGAGTTGAGATGTTTTATACAAGTGGGCCCTGATATGTTAGTCTTCGCATAGAGTATAATTTTAGTGATTGAAAACGTTCAAATAGTGTATACTTAAGTGTTTCTCTCTCATATGCTGGATGTTATCTCCATGCTGTTTCTTCTCATCTTTCTTACGAATTACATGTAAATACTGTAGATCCATCATCGACACATACTTCAAGGTATCTCCTTTTATTCAAATTTCTGTTGCCTATCCCCGATTCATATAGCATTACTGCCTCAAATGATATTGTTTGAAACCTTTTAGGATTTGTATTCCTTTCCAACTTCCCGATTGCTTTTACAACCCGTATACAATGTCCTCTTAACTTAACTATTATCAGAAACAAACTGCTCCTTAGGTTGGAGTTCAACTGGGCTCAGATGATCTAGACTTATCTACAAGTGTCGGTGTGTCTCCTCTACCAAACAGCTAAGCCAATAGTGTCGACATGATGTCCATTTGGGAATGTCATTCAGACTCTAAAATAAAACGGAAAATACTTTTGTTTTTATAAATCATGTTTATTTCATTCAATGCCAGTAGAGATGCAGTTTACACAAACATTTACTGATCACAAGATGACTTCTGACAGTGGAATTACGACAAGCCACGGGCACGTGGATATATATATAGTCACGGAGAACAGTCACCATCATCAAACAACAGTTAGACTCTGTACCTTCTAACGTGGGCTGACATAGGCGCCAGTTTCGCAGCTGATAACATATCTAATGACACAAAGCATATCATCACACAAAAACAATCTAGTATCATTCTGACGTCATCAGAATCAACACAGTGACTTCAGAGTAGTATAATTTAAGTTCTAGTAGCCGAATACTTAATTCTCTCAGTCTTGTTCTAAATAGATTTGTAACCTTTCAAGGTGTTCATTAAAATTGCATTCTCCGCCTTGAAATCTTTAATGATATACACTGATGTATTTTCTTGTTTTTCAATTGCAGATTGTTACGTGAAAAGACTTGGAAATATCTCTTGGTGACCATAGACGGGAAAATGATGGCAGATTTTGATACATACATTTCGAATGTTTTTGAATATCTTCCCAGTAAAAGTCACTTAAACTTATCTTTACATATGCTTATCTGGCTAAAGCAAGTCGAACAAATTCAATGTTTTTATAAAACGTACAGAAACCATTGTTTGGCTGTTATCTCTGAGGGTGTTCCTTTTGATTCCAGGATGAGCTTTTTCCATTTTTAATAATTATGAAAATATAAATCGTTTACTCTTACCTTAGACTGCTAGGACACAACCAAGTTTAGATACCATTAACCAGACTTTTAATCTGACAAGTATGCTGTAAATATATAACTATTGACCTTACCTGACGTTTATAACTTGTATTGTTCTAGACTGGATCTAAACGCCAGGTTTACTAAAGAGGGATATATCAGTATCACCAAGGGTCAAGGCTCCTTTCAGATCAAGGTAGGTAACATTAAATATCACCAGGATAATCCAATATGTTATTGTTGTGTTTCATCATCATATGATGTCAATAATGTCTCGTTAACATGCAATTTGTTCATTTGTTTTCAATGTCATAATGCTTTATTTTGTAAATTAACTTCCCGATTATATTTTCTAATCAAAGAAACCAATCAAACAATCCAAGTACAACAATTCGGTTAAATAAATATTTTGCGATATTTTTTTCTTTTTTTTTGTGATAATATGTATGAATTTTAATAATTTCTTGATAATTTCCATATATTACCTTTTCTTTCTTCCGTTATATGTATATACCATTTCAAACAAGTTCGAACATAATAGGAAAAGTTGCCCCTTTATTTCCGATAATTAAATGATGAAAGTTCCAATCACGTTCAGGTAATTATTTTGCTCTAAATCAAAACGATGAAAACATTTTACAATATTTAGCGGTATAATGATCCACAAAGGATGTCCATGCTAAACACATCCATATGTACACAAATATTGTATTATATGATAGAAGACAATGACGGGTGATTAAGGTGAATACCCATGTAAGGAAGGGGCTTTAGTAAAATAGGAGTGAGATATAAAATCATTGTCAACATACAATTATTGGTGTGGAACTCTGGTCATGAATACTAAGATAATTACATAGGATTAACGACGTAGGAATATGATGGAGGGGAAATAACTCTAAATATATAAAATTTCATATTGTCTTTGTTTGATATATATTATATTTCCTCAAAATCTACCAATCAATTAACTGTTTCATCACAGTTTAAGCCGGATATTTCAGTTACCTTCAAAATTATAATTTTCATTAAATTCTTTGTCATATATATATATATATATATATATATACAAAACTGATACATGATATACTTGCAACAATTTCTTTTGATTAGTTTTCGTTTTTACAGAAAAACACCTTGATATGGTATATTAAAATCTGATAACACTTACCACTACAAATCTGACATGGAATATGGCTCCATTTTATCACAATATATTCTGATAGATGAGCTAAAATCCATATTCATCATCTAGGTAATAGTCAAATGATCTATGAATCCTTTCTTTAATATACTGTAAACCTAGGATAAATTCGACTTTTTATTTTTGATTTAATTGTTTAAAATGTCAATATTTGGAGTATATATATTGAGGAAATTTCAAGTAAAAAATTTCTGATATCAACGACATGTAATAATATAATGAACAACTCTTGAATATGTATCCAAATTACAATTTACTTATACAGATGAATGGATATTCAATTAATTAATTTTACAGCAAAGTAATGTGAAAAAGTAGAGCAGTATCCTACCATAGGCATACACTTAAAAACCTAGATTTTGCTTACTAACGAAGGATTATTTCAAGCCCATAATTATTTTACAGCCTTGTACTAATATAGACACTAATCTACAGGATTTGAGACGTCTGGTAACGTTAGGCACTACTGAATAGAGTATGTTAAAGATCGTAACAGACTCTACTGACAATATTGTCTGCATGAGATGTCTTGATGGTTTCAGAAAATCAATACCTGTCGAATTATTCTTCCGAATGGAATGTTTTGTCAATCAATTCAAAATTTCAATAAATTTGCTGAACACTGTATTGAAGAAAATAAAAGAATATTTAGTATGTTCTGTCCCATATCATAGTGACAAGTATACCTTTCTAAGAAAACATTCTATTAAATAATAAAAGCCTAATTAATTCTATTACGATATTACTTCTGGCACTGCAATACTTATGATGTGTGTATTTAAACCTTGGCAAAATCTATGATGTTTTGTCTATCATTAAGCATGCTTCATATATAGATTTTTATGACTTTTACAACATCCAGTTAGATAATTATTTACAGAAATAAAAAGTTGAATAATTACACACGTCAAACGTGAAAAAAATTAAGCCACTTTATTTACAAATAATCACCACGTATTGATGGTATTATGATTTCGAAAAAAACCACATCAATTGAACAAGGTAGAACTAATACCCTTTCATTCAGGTTGGTGATGATAAAATTGTTAAAATTTCACTCAAACATTCAATTACTGATGAACAATACCCTGCATTTCCATTAATCATTGGTCTCAATTACGATGAGTTATCGGGATAAAATACTGAAGTTGAAAAACACTTTATTTCTAATTATACAATCATGTGAATTAACATTGCACTTTTAATACAATTTGACTAATCAACATTTACGTTTTTATGAAATCAAACGTTATTACCAGATATGTCCAAAGCCTGTTCAATCTGACACCATCTGGGGAGAGATCCAGTAACTTTCTTTACAAAAGATGTTAAATTATACAGATACCGTTAAAATGTGTTGATTTAGATTTTGAAAAAAAGATTGTAATATTCTGGAAGTGAAGCATTTTCATTCATATTTTCTCTGTCATTAGCCCTGAAATTATGTTTTTCTTCCCACGAACCAATTAAGACTGGGGTTTGAATGATTATAGACTAGATACAATTAATTAAATAAAACAATACAAAGCTTGACCATCATGTGACGTGTTTACAACAGCAGTTGTGATTAGATGGACATGCTAGATGGGTCAAACTGATTTGTATAACAGACAAACAAGTATACTATGATAAGTTGTACAGGGTATGATCAGTCTTTTAACCACAGATAGCATACAAAGTCCTACTTCTATAGAAGGTAATCAAAGAACTGAGAAAATTATACATTGTATCACCAGACATACATTTACACAACATGTGGCATTATGGGAAAATAATGATCACATAAACAGTAACTATCACCATACCATCTACAGTGGTATGTCACACTTAATAACAGCCTCGGTGAGCCAATACAGCTAGTGTCCGTTCTACAACGGAACCGTTCTGCAATGATCTGAATATGAGCAATTTATCAACACAATGACTACACACAGGGAACAACAATGGTAAGCACATGATACAGATATTGGCTGACAATATACTGACTGTCTTGAAGCTATCAAACAGAACTATCCAGGACAAGAGCAAGATTTGTCGAGATGAAGAAAATGTCAACTATTTTTTAATTCACTATTGTGAAGACTAAAACAGATTTTATAGATGTCAAAAATTTCAGTAATGCAAAAAGCTTTAAATATTGTTTTTCACCATACCGTAACTCTATGAACATAAAACAACCCACCTTGAAGCTGTTAATCAATATCATAAGTACCTTCCTCAAACTAAACATTGAAAAGGTGAGGGATTTCAATACTTTTTTTAGACAATGAACATAAAAAACCACACAAGCATCTCCTATGAACAATGCAAAAGACCATGATTATAATTTATTATTTTCCATGCAAACAAAATATTTGCCATGATTCCCAAAGTTACATACACACGTGCGTAACTAGATAAAAAATTGATCACAAAAAAGTATAAAAAAGAAAATATATTGATGTATCATATTTTATGAAACAAAATACAAGTCCAAGAAAATAATGACATATAAGAAATATCACAATATTCATATTTCATAAACTCATTCCATCACTGTCTTGCCATAACCTCTAATATAAAGGCCTAAATAGCCTAGAAACAAGCGCCAAACTACCATCCCTTTTATAGACCTGCAGTACATTTACAAAAATTCACTCATTTCAAAACTTAAAAATCTGTTGCTAAATTTGGAATAACAACTCGTCCCAAGGGAAAAAATATAAAACCACACTGACTTTTATTTAGACAAAAACAAGTATTTAAAAGAGTGGAAAGGTGGGTATGTTATCGATGTAAACTCTGCATGTTTCATCTGGTATTCTATGTAAGCTCTGATCCTACATATCTGGTAACTGAAGTAAACTCAACTTGATTTTGATGACTTTAGCAAGTTTAACATGCATCTGACCAGATATTGACATTTTAATTTTATTTTTTATCAAATCAGACGCCCCCGATTAAAAAATATATTTAAAAGAAGCCCCAGGCAAGATATGGTCACTGACCATGGAATCTGATGTGTTTCTCTTACTTCATATGCTTCTACCTTACAGCAAAAGTTCTGAACATAACCCTGATTTAATGTAGAAGAAATGTACCTTTCCGGGATTACAGCAATGGTACCATACATTTCCTTCTCAATTCAAAACACTGGACTCCCCCCTCCCCCCAAGACACATTATTTGTTGAATAATTTATGAAGCAGTAACTTTTTACACACATTGAATAGTGACAAAACGCCGAGAAATACAAGTAATCAACACTGGTCATGGTTTATCATTGAGCTCCAGTTACCTCCCCTAAGTGGCACCACTTTTGCCTTACCTCCATCCAGTTATTTCCCCTTAGGAAGAGAAATGGAAGGTTGCATTTAAGATATCTATTCATTATATCTGGTCAAGCACTTATGTTGCTTTTCTTAAAGAATAGCAAATGCACATTTTTAATGGGTAGTGATGTTATATAATTAGTTTCAACTTTTTGCACCAATTTTCTTAAGTAAAACTGTTAAATACCAGAAATTTCTCAAATAATTCCTTATTATGATAATGTTTCTTTATCTCTAGTTTGTGTTCCACATAGTGTATCCAGTGTTGAAAACTTCCATTCTGATATTACTGTGGAAATGCATTACACCAAACTTGCATTAACTATTTCAGAAAAAGGGATATTTTGTGGTCACTGGTGAAGTACTGTAAGGTTGAACTTAATGTGAATATTAATCCTTTCTTTTTTACTTGTCATCACAAATATCTGGCAGAATAAATAACAGCTGAGTAAATAATAATTGACATGAACAGACAATACAAAAAGAATCAACACTGAAACAGTGTTTTAAATCCAAAAAGTACATGATACTATAAGTAATATATGTAATGTAAATAAATTACATGGCATTCATGACACCATGATTGTATAATCATTAATACATAGAATGTAGAAGTCCTCCATAACCTTCATCATTCTAATGGAAGATAGGCTCTCCGGGAACATACAGGCATGTCGCCATGTCAGGAATCAGCTGACATGTGTACAAGTTAGGCTCACAACATCCAGGATGTATTACTACAAGTAGACACTTTAAAAATGCTTATGGCAAAAATACCTCTTGAACACTTGAAAACACAATTTTGACAACAAATTAATGTGCTTTAAAGCATGATCTTGGAATAACTGGCAGTTATAACACTGACAAATTATCTTCAATGGTGAAACATTCAAATTCTAATGAAATCTAAGTTAATATTCAGTGATAATAATGATAGGAGTACCACTGTACATAATATCACCAGAAATCAAGAGTTGTATTTTAAGTAGATATGAATTGACAGACAATTTCTGGCTGACTTCCGTAAGTACACAATGTATAATCAAGTGACGATGGAGGCTCGTCATGGCTTCAGACAAAGGTGGTCACACAGTGGTGGAGAAATCACATCGAAGGCTGGTTGATACTAGCATTTTGGAAGAGGTGCTGCTCACTGCTGTTGGCGTCCCATTGATTGTTCAGGCTGGGCTGTTGGGGATGGGTGTACACGACAGTTTGTACATCGTCAACAGCAGGTCCAGGAGTAGACTCTAGCCGTGTAACTGGGGTGGACTCCACTGCAAATACACACAACAGTGATGAGATGAGAAACAGAACACTGATGTTCTAAAATAGTCCTCAATAACCTTTACCATGGAGCCGATGCTCCAATATAAGGTCATATATAAGGCACAGCCTGGTACATGGAACCAGTCATGTGTACAAAGTCACGAAACAAAGGCAAGTATGAGTGTTCTAAAACAAAACTGCAAGATTAACAAATAATGATTTATTTTTTGTCTGTTATACCTCACCTTCAAGATACTTCTTGCTTAACACAAACGACGTCATTATGGTAATTAAATGGTCTTCCTTAACATATCCATGGAGCCTTCTAAGGAAATGCACTACTTAAACTTGATATACATGTAGAAGCAATAATGTTGTGTACTGTACAACGCAATAATTTTGATGGTCACATTATTGGATTATGCCCCCGAAACATATTCAGGGAATAATTTAAAAATCAGAACTGACTTTTCAGAGTTTATATTTTTTAGCCACAAACACAACAAAAACTTAACTTCTGTGAAATATTAGTGTAATACAGTAGGCAATCTTGCTCTATAACATGTGTTTGTCTGAATAGCCACCTTGTTTCCTGGTAATATAAAGACAAAGGTCACTTGTGAAACAATTCCATGTTACAATCCACAACTTCTCATTGTTAGTTTAAAAAGCATATCTAATTCACATAGACACATCAGCTGTATTTTGTAGTAAAATTTTAAAAGCAAAAATAAACAAAGTTAAAATGCAAACAAGTTTTATTGAATATGTGAACAAATCGAGAAAAGGGCAGAATGGGCAAACATATTATCCATCCCTCTGACTACCTGCTGTATCAGAGTGGTAATTGGACAAAATGTCTCAATAATTTCTGACAGCTGACTTAAGTTATTTGGCACATTGTGGCCTAGTGAATATTTTGCGATGTTAAAGAGTTGAAACATCAGACATTTACACTCTTTGCTTGACAAAGGGAACAGATGTTGTTGAAAGTTCGCATAATAAGTTGTCAAATTACCGTTTGTGTTCAAAACAAACTAAGCATACACAATGTAGTATAAACAATAAACTGATGAATCGCATACTGAACAAATTATTGAATTTCTATTCCGTGGTGAATATTTAACCAACATGATTAGTTTGGTTTATTTTATTTAACGTCCTATCAGCAGCTAAGGTCATTTAAGGACATGCCTCCATGTGTGTTGTGTAAGCGTGCATGTGTGTTTGCATGCCGGAGACAAGGTATGTTGGTGTGTCAGAACGATAGATGTGCAACATAAATTTTTTCTTGCTTGCTTTTTTCCATTTTTTTTCACTACTTTTTAGGTGAAGGTGTACATTTCAAGTGTATCACGGCTTAGGCTTACTGTGGCCCAATGGACCAAGTTGTTGAATGAGCTTTCATTTACAAGTGAAAAAATACAATATTATTGTGTAATACAATATCCATATACACTGGAAACCTTGTCAGAACCATTAATTTTCTTTCCAAAATCAACAGATATCCATTCAAAATTTCTATTGCTGAATACAGTCCAAAATCTAATGTTTGTAAGTTCAACCTGAAGGGGTTCCATTGTTTAAGCTCACGAATAGCATAGTAATAATAAAGCTAATGACAAATGAAATGACTATAAGTGACTTCAATATAACAGCCTGGGGAGAAATAATCATTCAATAAAATCAAAATGCTTGTACACTCATGAAATGCAGCAATCAAATCAAAACTGCAAATGAAATAGAACGAAAATGAAGATGGGAACAAACTCAACTGAATGACAGACACTTGGAATTTTAAAAATAGCTAGAAATGAGCAAAAAAGTTGAGCAAAGTTTTGCACATTGCTTTATTTCATAGGACTTATGTTTGTTGAAGTCGATAAAAACTTTGCATGTTGTATAATTTCATAGGACTTACATTTGTTGAACATTTTTGTTATCAATCATCATTTCTAGCTAATCTTATCTCACCAAGTGCCTGTGATTGAAATCTCAAAAACTCAAATGGCAAAATCAGTGAGCAACTGGAATCTGAAACAAACTACACTGGAAGCAAATGATGGTGTGATCTGACCGAGCTAAGATGGGATTGCTGGGTGCATTCAATGCTAACACAACTGGAAATCACTCACATTTCACCAGTACTGTTTAGGTTTTTCCCTCTTTAAGCCTTATTATTATAGCATATTGCCAAAGCCAAGTGTCAAAATTTTGAATTGAAGAAATTGAAGAAATTGAGAAAATGTAATTTAACAAAAAAATAAATCTTATGGCTCAAATTGATTTTAATCAAATTGCCAATTCAAATTGTCATGATTCCGGACCTGTGTACTTGGAAAATGCAAGTGATGAGCAGAGTGATTCTGTACAATACAGAAGACATACCCAATACCAGCTATTTGCCATATAAAGGAGGAAGGTTTCCGTCAACTGGAACAATATTCAAACAAGATATTGCACTCGTCATACAAGACATTTGTCAGATAAGATATTACATACACACTAACATTCATCACCATGTTTCTCAAACATACATTTTACATGTGATACCGCATTATATTTCGACATTTAAAAAGACCCATTTCGTTGATACTAGAAATATCAAGTTAGCAACAAGCACCACTGGTAGTTCGGACAAGTAATGATTGAAGAACAGTACAATTAAAACATTCACTTCATTGATATCATCTCCAAATTAAGTTGTTAAATTGTAAATTCAACGTTTATACATTATTTGACACATTTACTGTGATTTACTGTGATTGCAATGCATTGTAGAATGTCAATAACTGTCCACACTGATGAGTTATCTCCCCTACATGATACTGAAAACTTACCAAACATTTGCATACAACCTGTCTAATATGTAATGATATCTATGATAGATACTATCTAATCACTTGCAGATTATATCAACACCATTTAGATATAATTTTGCAAGTTATAGTGAGAATAGAGAAAATATGATTTTGCCTGTTTTGATGCGAATCGTAAAACATCAGTAACACAACTGGTAAGTATAAATGGCCTAAATATACAAGTTTTAGGTATATCTCGGTTATAAAACGACTTCAATGGCTTAGATCCAATTCTGAAGAACATTTAAACATAATTTGTTTTTACTGAATTAAAAAACAACATTAAAACAATTCAGCACTAAGTGTATCCCCATATGGAACAATTCAGCACCACTAGGGTTAAAACAACATCATCTCTTCCTTGATATATTTTTCTGTCAGACATCAGTTCTTGGTACAGCTATCACATCAACAAATCAACAAACTATCTCCTTAAAATAAATAGCTAGTCAATATTATTCAAATCTACCTATCTCTGAGGAGGCTTAAACTCACAGCATTGTAAGAACATTTAGCAAGGACACTGCAAAAGGTTGATCCATGGTACTCAATATCAACTATAAGATGCAGAACTTACTCAAAATAATGTTATGATAACCTTAACAAATATTTTCCAACTAGAACTTTAAGCCTCTAATGAGCACTGTGTTGTTTGTAAAGTATGTTATTTGGTTTTACTGTAAAACAGTACCCAGAAATGTGTAATAAATACCTAGTCATTGTCGAGCCTCCTTAATTTGTAAAGAAAATACAACAAAAAATGAATATGCATAAACCCACAGTCCTTACACATATTACATGCATTTTGAAAATACATCACAATATCGATTTTTAACAGCAGTATTTTGTAGTACTTCTTACGTGTTTATAGCATGAACATGAATTCAAACTTTATTTATTTTATAAACATTCAGAAAAAGTTTCATAAATTTAAATTAATCTTTCTTTTCGACCCTGATGGTAAAGTGTCAGGGTTTTTATATGGGAGGAAACTCGAGTACTCGGAGAAAGTGTCGGGTAGCTACATGTAGGCGACCCCATAAATTTTCACATCTGATGAGGGAATCAAACTCTGGCCTATCACCCCAAGTTAAGAGTAATTACATAACAGGTATACAATTTAATGTACCTACATGTACATATTAATGAAATCAATACAACCTTATATGCAAAACTGTAAGAATTAAAACATTTCTTTGCTATAAATATTACATTTACAAGCCTAACACAACCCACAATTTAATAGCCCTTATAAGAGTTTTGAAAATAATCTGGTATCATGAATAAGAACCAGATACATTTACAATAAATGGTTTGCTGGAATCGATAAGGAAACACTGGAAATCAATACCTGACTTGTAACAATTAGAACATATCAATAAAAACCATAAATAGCGTCACATTCTGCTGACACATTCAGCTGAAAGACATTATATAAATATACAAAATAACGGATAAATTCAAATAAAAAATATCAAAATATGTGAGAAGGGGAGGGATAAAAAAAAGAAACAGTGATGAGTAAATAACTAAACATCCAATAATAGAGATGTAGTGATTAGGTAATATGTAATTCCTAGCACCGATAATCATCAGTGACAAACAATAATAACAAAACGTTAAAAGCTATGTTTGGCTTTGAAAGTTAAGTTACACAATTTGCATTTTGATTAATTGAATTTCCACAATAATAGGAATAACAAAAGTTATTATTTGATCCGAAGGATGGATGCCAATTAGGCTATTCTTGGGATTTTGATTTCAGATATTTTCTTTTTCCAATGATGCAGCAATACCTTACTTATAAAATTCTTCTGGTCTAACTTGGGTCGTAGTGACATTAACAATCAGGTTATTACCAGTAAAATAATCAGGGAAAATGAGGGGTCTAAAAAAACAACCTGTGGGCACCCATCCTTCCAGATTTAAACTATATGTCAATAGAAGCAAGGAAGTCTTCCAGTAAAAAGCTTTGCTACTTAATATTTGCTTTGTTATAGAAGTCCTGATAAATTGAGAGCTATATACCATGACATTTAGAGTTTATACACAATTTCAGTAGAAGAAAAAAGCAGTTAGATAAAGACCCTGCAACATCAATGACAAGAATAAGATAAATTTAAATGTTTAATCAAATAAAAAGTATTAATAGTCAGAAGAAAAATAAAAAATAAATCATGTAAAATATATATAAAAATACATTAAGAAAAATCAAATATCTTGTACTGAACCAACAAAATGGCGCCACCACATGCTTTGCTAACATGCACCGAGTGCACTCACTTACCATGATAATTGAGTTGGGTCAAAGTCATATTCCAAAGGGGATTCTTTCCACCTGTCAGGTTTAAATCCAGAAAATTGTTTTTGCTTTTCTTTTTTAACCAAATATCAGAAACTTCCTTCGTTTTCTTTCAAAAGACCATTATCATCCTCGTTATGAACAAAATTAAAATTGATGTCAGAGATACTGACTTGGTCATCAAAAGACAAAGAATGCGACGAGGGGACATCAATAGATTCAATGGGATTAGCGTGTACATATTACAACTGGTAAACAAAATCTTCTTCCCCAGTTTATAAAAAGATTTTCATGGTGAAATTTTTCTCCAATACTGAAAGCTTTTGCATAACAGTGTAAATAAACATAACAGACCAGGATGAAACAACAGGTTAGATGGGGAATTCCAGCAAATATCTAACTCATCAACCTGATCAGCTGAGATCAAACCAGTCCCGATCTAATCAATAAGCAATGCATTTGGCATTAGCTACGTACAGAAATAGTATTTTGAATTTCCACCATGTCAAAAACATACTATGAGGTGTGATAATTAAATTTAAAGGCACCCTTTCACCATCAAAGAACATGGAGATGGACCACCTATCTACCTGGTCATCGATCGTCCGTATTATGACCATGGTGGACCGACAGGTACTTACCATTGATAGGGGGAAGTCTGTTGTTTATAGAGCCGTCTGGTCCCTGGTAACTTATCATGCTGTGTTTGGTGACAGGACCGACACCATTACTACTCCCGTGGAAAATCTGCTCTGGACCCACACTGTTTGTATTTGTTCCCGCATTGCTGGTCTGTTTGAAACAAAGACAATCCATTTCACATCCTGGTTTTGGTTTTTTGTACAACAGTTGCCTCTTTGAAAAAATATGTTAAAATTGCTTTTTAAATGATTTTGTTTTAATTATAATAAAATGTTATGTACAACTCTATTGCATTGCCGCTATAAAACCCGGACAAAATCAGATGACATTCATATCAGTTATGAATGTCATGGCTCATGTGTTGACATCATCATTATTATGATGTCATAATTGCAATGTTGGACACCACTGACCCTCTAAGGAAGATGGATGTTCTATTCATTTAACAAACATACATGATACAAACATTTCTTTAAAATTAAAGCTGAATTTGATAAATAAATTTGAAACAAGATAAATTCAACTAGAAGCGCTAACGTTTCTAATGAAATTTTCAGTTGGCGTTCATACTGATTATGAATGCCATCTGAAAGCAGTTAAATGCTTAAGTACTGGCAAATTTAAATGTACTGAAAAACTAGATACTTATAACTAGACTGCCATTCAGTTGATATTTAATATTTGTATCAGATATCAAACTCAGTGTGGAGTATCAACACACCTTTGTTTCATTGGTTGAGCCATAATACTCATGCTTCACGTTGACAGCGTTACTCTCCCTGCCAGTCGTCGCGTTCAGTCCGCCGTGGATCTCCACGGTTTCTGGTACCACTAAACCTCGCCTGTCCAGCAAACTGTGAAGACATGTTCAGACGTAGTTATATATCTGTGATATAAAACCTCTTTGATTCCTAGTCTTGTCTTCCTAGTCTAGTGCTGTAGATTATCAATACCTCATGTATATGACACACAAAGAACTGCTTTCATTTAAATGGCGAGATGATTAAAAAAAAAAATTAAAAAAAAAAAAAATGTTCATTTTACAAATTTCAACCCCCAAAATTGGGAATTACTCGCAGTATAAATAGAAACTTAAGTATTTGCAAAAATTGAGATACCATGGTGTTTTTACCAAATAATAACTATTGTATATAAAAAGAAAAATCCCCTTGGATTTGCATTGCTGATCATAATTCAAAATTTCCTTACAGACTGGCGTCTTTAATTCTCAATAGTTTTTGTTTTAAAGAATAGAAGCAACTCTCTGAAGCAATCTATCCAACTGCTTTTCTTTTCTAATACAGTAAAACTTCAATATTTAAAGGTGCATAATTTTAGAAGAAATATGACCTTGTGAAAAGTGACCTTGGGAAATGGGACCTTGGGAAATGGGACCTTGTGAAAAGTGACCTTGGGAAAAGTGACCTTGGGAAATGTGACCTTGGATCTATATACTATCTGTACACGATTGCTTTACCTTGGAGGAGTTGGCCCACAAAGCACTACTAAACAGTTTTTCAATATTGACCCCTGGCTGTAGGGATTGAAATTTTCCTGGCCCCTTTTAGCAGAGAAGGATCCTTTGATCTGTAAGAAAAAAATGAACATGAATAAAACGGTGAAAAGTAATTGGTATTCAGCACTAATGTTTGGCCATGAAACAGTATGAAGGTAAGCAAATTAAGATTTTACATAAAGCGATATTGTTACAAAACAGAGTTGGACCTTGGTATAATTTGCTGATTGCTGATTTAAATTCTTTATTTTCATGTATTCAACGTAAATTTCCAAAGAAATCAATACACCAAACATAACGAAAAATGCAATCATCATTATGATTGGTTATCTATTTTTTGATTTGGAGGAAACCAATGTTTCTTGATACTGATGAAAGGTTCATAACCTATGAAAACAAGCATGCGTCTTTGCATTCATGGCAAAAAAAAACCCAACATGCACAGTATGCACAGTAGTGATCAAAATGCAAATATTGGACAGCCTTAAGCTTAAATACAATGCCAGGACACCTTGTGATGAATGCTTAGATAATACATGTATATATATACATTAAATGTGTCTCATAACAGTTCTGAAATATAGACAATTTGTCTTGTTCCAAGAACATTATAGTTAAATACAAACAGTTTGGTATGACATGAAAGCTTTATAATTACAAAATTCCTTGTGTCCTAAAAACTTAAGTAGGAAATCTACAAATGTATTCAATTTATTCACAGGATGTTAGAAGTTGCAATATAAAAACTGTTTTTTTCCAGACATTAAACTTTTGACAGAAGTTAATAATTTCAATGTGTATACACACATCAAAGCATGTCAACTGAACAAAAAAAGTGAATATTAATCAACTGATTACGAAAGAAATTAACAGTTACAAATCCATAAAAGAGCTACATAAAAGATTGTAATTTTTACATCCCTTCATCTGTCTGTATCTCCCTACAGGATATTCTGTAAGTTATTAACTCATTCACCCCTGAAGACACATTTGAACTCTTCCAATTCAGAGGCTGGAATAGTTCATTATGAAATTTCATGGGTGAATGTGTTAAGACAGCTGACCTGAAGTACTTACATCCTCATTGGTTGTTTGTTCTGACGCCACTAAATAGGAATGGAAGCCAGCTAGGCCTACGATTGACCATACACTAAAGAAACACATTACCATCTCTATAACAGTACAGCGGGGTTAAGGAAACTAACTCAACTCAATCACATGCAAAGGTAAAATATTAAAATATCACAGGTAATTGTGGAACAAAAAGGAAAAAAATCTTTGACATTTGCAATTCCATTTTGCCTTTCTACCTCTTTCAACACTATAACACATTTTTTTATAGGTTTATAGTGATCAAATATATATATATTTCTTCTTCAACTACTACTACCCAAATAATCTGGTTGTATAGGTTGCATTTACCTACATAAATCACTATACACATTTTGTATGTTGTGAAGTCTGTTTCTGTTTAGTCTCATTTGTTTTTAAATTACCTCAGTCTGTATTTATATACAAGTAGATATATTAATTTTGAATGCAAACTTCTTCTTAAACAATAATTGGCTGGATATTGATATACATGTTGTAAGGTAAGCCTTTCTAAATTTGTCTTCAGGATGATTTTAATATTACCTACAGTGTTGAAATAGATAGAATATGACACTAGACATGGGATGACAAAATTCAAATGAAACTTATTTCTTGGTTCACAAATCCCTGTGGCAAACAATGGATGCATAAAAAATAAGATGTCAAATACAGCAAGCAATCATTGGAAAATAAAGTTTAAATCAATAAAATATTTGTTTTAGGTAAATCATCTAAAATCCAACCTAAGACAGATATTTTCTGAACTCATTTCTAGTCAGCCCATGTATGTAAACTGTAATTTTACCAGGTAACCTTTGAGTTGACCCACTAGATCAACAGTACAGCAAATATCACCACCTATTGGAGGCCATCCAGAATCCGGGAACTTGTGTGTCATATGAGTTAAGAATGAGTTAAAGCATCAACAAATAAAGAAGCCCTACCAGAACTTTGTTACACCCCAAAGTGTCCCCGCCAATCAGAGGCCGTGGCAGCCAACTTTGTTACAGCCCAAAGTGTCCCTCCCAATCAGAGGCCATGGCAGCCGACTTTGTTACAGCCCAAAGTGTCCCTCCCAATCAGAGGCCATGGCAGCCGACTTTGTTACAGCCCAAAGTGTCCCTCCCAATCAGAGGCCATGGCAGCCGACTTTGTTACAGCCCAAAGTGTCCCTCCCAATCAGAGGCCATGGCAGCCGACTTTGTTACAGCCCAAAGTGTCCCTCCCAATCAGAGGCCATGGCAGCCGACTTTGTTACAGCCCAAAGTGTCCCTCCCAATCAGAGGCCATGGCAGCCGACTTTGTTACAGCCCAAAGTGTCCCTCCCAATCAGAGGCCATGGCAGCCGACTTTGTTACAGCCCAAAGTGTCCCTCCCAATCAGAGGCCATGGCAGCCGACTTTGTTACAGCCCAAAGTGTCCCTCCCAATCAGAGGCCATGGCAGCCGACTTTGTTACAGCCCAAAGTGTCCCTCCCAATCAGAGGCCATGGCAGCCGACTTTGTTACAGCCCAAAGTGTCCCTCCCAATCAGAGGCCATGGCAGCCGACTTTGTTACAGCCCAAAGTGTCCCTCCCAATCAGAGGCCATGGCAGCCGACTTTGTTACAGCCCAAAGTGTCCCTCCCAATCAGAGGCCATGGCAGCCGACTTTGTTACAGCCCAAAGTGTCCCTCCCAATCAGAGGCCATGGCAGCCGACTTTGTTACAGCCCAAAGTGTCCCTCCCAATCAGAGGCCATGGCAGCCGACTTTGTTACAGCCCAAAGTGTCCCTCCCAATCAGAGGCCATGGCAGCCGACTTTGTTACAGCCCAAAGTGTCCCCGCCAATCAGAGGCCATGGCAGCCAACTTTGTTACAGCCCAAAGTGTCCCTCCCAATCAGAGGCCATGGCAGCCAACTTGAATATTAAATATTTTTTTTAATACCACATATACACATGCTCTGCAACACTTATATGAAGTTCATTTAAAACTCTGTGCAGAAAAGTGTGCCCCAAATAATATTTTAGAGACATAAATAATGATACCAGATACAATGATGACCCAAGATCAAAACTATGGAAAGCAACAATTATTTACTCTCAAAGTCCAATTTCTTACAGAGGATTATGAAAAACGTTTGAATTGATGGCAGTGCAGACAAGAAATATCCAAATTCAACAATAGAGTTTTGTCAATATTCCAATCCTAGTCATAGCTTTATTACTGTTATTAATTTCTCTTTTTTTTAAAAATGGGTTCCTGCATTATTCAACAGGGCCTTTATTTCTGCTGATTACCACTATCACAAACAGTTGTCATGAAATTCTGGTATTAAATGATACTTCAGATTCTGTGGTCTTTACCACGCAGATCGCTCCATGATACAGAAAACTACAATCCTAAATATGATTCCAAGCTAAAGAATCCCTAATATCTTGAACCTGTAGCTTAAAGATCATGTATATTTTTACTGATTGTCTGGCAATGTTCAAATTTCAGCGATTGTCAAATCCCTGTAGTACAGGAGAAAACAATGTGTCTGTTTCCAAATGGTATTAGATGATGCAATGTCCTATTGGAGATGTGGGACAAGTGATAGAAAGCCAAACCCGCAGTCTGATCTGATACCTGTATTGTTGTAAACCCTAGACTTTGTCTATCGAAACATGCAGCAATTCCAATAAAATTGTTAATAAATGGGCTCTGTTGTACTTCATGTATTCAGAATATAGAATTAGCCGTGGCACTGTGTCAGTGTTTATGAAATAATGTTTCAATCATCCACAACTCTGCCACAACCTTGAATTCTAAAACAATTGGTGCTGGCTATATATGTAAGACTAGTCCGAATTATTCTGACGTTTTATCGGACTAAGGTAAGACGTGCAAACCAAAGCATGCAAGAGATGAAGATGTGCCTGAACTAGCTAGCTATAGCTGTTATTGAACAAATCATAAAAAAACATTAACAACTAAATTTTGATTATTGATTAAGTACAAAATGGCAGTGCCCCCATTTCAGCCATTGTAGATTGTTTTATTGAATAAAATAAAATTTAAACAAAGACCAAAATCAAATTATATTTTTGAAACAAGAGTATAATGAAGTCATAACTGTACAACACAAATTGCGGTAAATTAGATAAAAGCCGAAGTCACATGATCTACTACTCACATCCTCATTGGTTGTCTGTTCTGAGGAGGCAAGGTAGGTATGGAAACCTGCAAGGCCTATGATTGACCATACCGAGAAGAAGCAGATAATGGCTTCCACGATAGTGCAAATGTTAAGGATGATAAAGGCCGTGTTAGTTGGTAAAGAAGGCTGTAATGTAAATATCCTCACGATGGATGGAAACAAATAACTGTACAATAAACTTCTAATTTCAAAATTGCTAACTTTTGATTGTTTTTATTGGGTTTAACGCCCTGGCAACAACCAAAGTCATATGAAGACAGAATTTCATTAAGAACAATGTATTTTTAAATCATCAAATAAAAAGATTTGAAGATTTTTTTGATTTTTTTTTATAATTTGAAATTATTTGATCCATCGCATGTTAAGGATATTTCCTGCGCCCCAGCAAAGCACCATCACAAGACAGTAGATCTATAGGTATATGTAAGATAAACTACACATACACATCTGCCTTAGTAAACATCAGCTGGGCATTTTGTGAAGGAGTCGTTAGCTGTTATGCAAATAAGTAAATTACTCACATCTTCATTGGTGGTCTGCTCTGATGACACTAAGTAAGAATGGAAGCCTGCGAGGCCTATCACAGACCAGATGGAGAAGAAACATATAATGGCCTCTACGATAGTGACATAGTTAAGGAACAAACCACACCAGTTTTAGTCCAACTGTTTTCTATGAACATCTAAATAAATCTGACAACTACTGCCATTATTATTGTTAGAACTTTTGATATCAGGTAATACACTATTTCGTGTATATATACTCGTGCTAAAATTTTCATATTACTGATATTATCTCTTGAAGAGTAAAGAAATGCCAATTTCTTTTCTCTAAAAGCTGCAATATTTTAAAAGGTGTCCATAAAACAGTTGCCATAAGAATGTATTGTAACATGTGTTGAAAATGAATAAGAATTTATTTCATAAGGATTAATAAAGAAAATCATGTGTATGACCACATAGATGTTAGTTCATGCACTTAAAGAGATTTTAAGAAACGCATGGGTGATTAATTAGTTTTATATTTTTGCATACATTTTAGTAATCCGGACCAATGAACATATAGTCCTGCAGATAGCAAAAGCAATCACCCCATAATTTTTCTGTAATACTGTTTTTGTTAATTATTTAAAACACCTCGGACTAAATCAATAACAAAACCACAAATAGGAGATAGAATACACGACTGTTATGCAGTAGCATTGAGACAGCCTCCATTAAAATTGAGTTTAACAGTAATCATGATTGAAATGCCAAAGTTTTCCACTTCTAGATCTTATTAATAATGAATTGATACATTACAGTACAATGAACATAAGCCTTACATAGCCAGTGATCCGGGTCTGTGTTTAAGTTAGATCAGCTGGCCTCTTAGGCACTGCATGGATCATATCAATTATACCAATTACAGGAGCATTATACAACTACCATCATTCATGGAAAATGTTTCCTAAGCTTAATTTAGATGTAGAAATTTGTTTCTGTTCTTATTTTTACACTACCCGGTATAACCAAAACACTTTAAAATATAACATTATCTTGTAATCCGTAAAATATATGCGTATTGAAAAATCCAGTGATTTCAGTCATACATGTATGCATTGTAGAAAATGTTACAAAAAAGTTATTCAAGTTCCTTTCGAGTTTTCCTGAATTAAAGCAGCAATATGGATAATTTCACAGAAGTAATTGACATTTAGAATCCAGATAAATGCAAGATCCATGTGGTTTTAATGATTGAGTTAGTGTGCAAATGTATGGAAATTGATTAAGAATGTTATCAAAAGAAAGGGAAATTGAAGAGTTGTGGTATCTAACTACTGCCTGGCAAACAAAACAAATTACACTGTAACAAAAAACCAAGGTCACCCCTATCTAATCAAGTTGGTGTCTCATTTCCGAAAACCCCTGATCACGAATTACCAAAACAGTTACACCAATGTATCAGTAATAGGGAAGGAATCAGTCCTATTCTCCAGACTTTGGATCTGGCTGAAAAAGTTGCAATGTATCCGAGATTTTCCTTAAATTCTATTGAAGGATTCCATGAAAACTAGCAGGTATCTCGTCATAAATTATGCCAATTTAATTGACCAATTTGTTTTTTTCTCAACTGGTCAGACTAAATAATTCAATATTACAGCATGTACTGTAAATCCTATGTAAGTGCTAGGCATTATACAATTAGAACACTCATGGTTAAAATTTATGGTTGAATGGTTCATTGGCCCAATCAGGTCACTTACGGCTTGGACAATGTTTAATGATGATACAGCTAAGGGAGGTAAGTTCAGAAAATAAAGTATCAATGCCAAATACATGTGTAAATAGCAACGGTGACCTTGACTATAAAATACAAAAAAAGGCAAGGTACTCTTATACCTTAGTTTTATATGAAGTTGGATGAAAATGCATTAAGAAATGAAGGTGCTAGAGTGATGTCACTGAATTCAAAGTTTATATTTTTATAAATAGTATTGGTGACCTTAGCCTTGACCTTGAATACCTTACAAATTAATCCAAGATGTTCTTGTACTTGAACTTTGTATACGTTTGATCAAAATCTGTTGAGAAACGAAGTTGCTAGTGATTTAACGGAATTGGTCAACACATTTAAATAATGGTGACTTTGACCTTGGAACTCTAAAATATGAACTCATTTGAGCTATAAAGCTTGATCAAAATTTGATAAGATGATCGATATCTGTCAAGAAATGAAGTGGCTAGAGTGATGACATATTGAAACGAGACAGGACAGGTTCAATCCGACAGGGACTGGACAGAATGGTAACAGTGTTTGTAAAAAGGCAGGGGCATAAATGTATATGACAGGGAATAAATCTAAAATCAGTTTAGGAAGAGAAAGCTTTGCCGACTTTTACTACATATTTATGTGATGCTGGTTGATACCATAGACATACAGCATTCACATGCCTCATAATGGTCCCCCGGCTTCACTGTGTATTCCTGTACATCATTCTATGTTACACAGTCAGCAGAACACTTTATGGTTCTGTATCATTATCCCTGAATCAATATGGGTACTGACTTTGCGAGTCAATTTGTTGTTGAATTACAGTCATCTTACAGGTCTGCAGCTATATATGATCTAAAACCTTCTCCAGTAGCAGAGCATCTATGTACATGGTAATAGAAATGATACATTTGCTTATAAATATCCTTCATTCTATAAATGAGACTGGTAAGCCATACAGCGGGAACTCTGAGTGTACCAGTTTTCATTTCTGTTTATCAACATGCTATTTGTTTCCAGTTCAAATATATAATCATAAAAGAAAGAAATATTTTGATATGATGTCATGGGTGCTGATTTCATCCCGATTTTGTTTAAATGGATAAGAGGGAATACTGGTTATCTAGTTATAACCTTACCACATCAATATATGTGAATATCAAACAATAACTGATATTAAGTAAAACGATGATAGTGGAACTCAGTGAGCTGGCACTTTCACAATTTCTGTCACACATACTTGGTGTAGATTTATCTATGGTGGCACTGTCACAAACTCGCTGTCACACATTAATGGATGAAGATTTATCTATGGTGGCACTGTCACAAACTCGCTGTCACACATACTTGGTGTAGATTTATCTATGGTGGCACTGTCACAAACTCGCTGTCACACATAAATGGATGAAGATTTATCTAAGGTGGCACTGTCACAAACTCGCTGTCACACATTAATGGATGAAGATTTATCTATGGTGGCACTGTCACAAACTCGCTGTCACACATACTTGGTGTAGATTTATCTATGGTGGCACTGTCACAAACTCGCTGTCACACATTAATGGATGAAGATTTATCTAAGGTGGCACTGTCACAAACTCGCTGTCACACATTAATGGATGAAGATTTATCTATGGTGGCACTGTCACAAACTCGCTGTCACACATACTTGGTGTAGATTTATCTATGGTGGCACTGTCACAAACTCGCTGTCACACATTAATGGATGAAGATTTATCTAAGGTGGCACTGTCACAAACTCGCTGTCACACATTAATGGATGAAGATTTATCTATGGTGGCACTGTCACAAACTCGCTGTCACACATACTTGGTGTAGATTTATCTATGGTGGCACTGTCACAAACTCGCTGTCACACATTAATGGATGAAGATTTATCTAAGGTGGCACTGTCACAAACTCGCTGTCACACATACTTGGTGTAGATTTATCTATGGTGGCACTGTCACAAACTCGCTGTCACACATTAATGGATGAAGATTTATCTAAGGTGGCACTGTCACAAACTCGCTGTCACACATTAATGGATGAAGATTTATCTATGGTGGCACTGTCACAAACTCGCTGTCACACATACTTGGTGTAGATTTATCTATGGTGGCACTGTCACAAACTCGCTGTCACACATTAATGGATGAAGATTTATCTAAGGTGGCACTGTCACAAACTCGCTGTCACACATTAATGGATGAAGATTTATCTATGGTGGCACTGTCACAAACTCGCTGTCACACATACTTGGTGTAGATTTATCTATGGTGGCACTGTCACAAACTCGCTGTCACACATTAATGGATGAAGATTTATCTAAGGTGGCACTGTCACAAACTCGCTGTCACACATTAATGGATGAAGATTTATCTATGGTGGCACTGTCACAAACTCGCTGTCACACATACTTGGTGTAGATTTATCTATGGTGGCACTGTCACAAACTCGCTGTCACACATTAATGGATGAAGATTTATCTAAGGTGGCACTGTCACAAACTCGCTGTCACACATTAATGGATGAAGATTTATCTATGGTGGTACTGTCACAAACTCGCTGTCACACATACTTGGTGTAGATTTATCTATGGTGACACTGTCACAAACTCGCTGTCACACATACTTGGTGTAGATTTATCTAAGATGGTACTGTCACAAACTCGCTGTCACACATACTTGGTGTAGATTTATCTATGGTGACACTGTCACAAACTCGCTGTCACACATACTTGGTGTAGATTTATCTAAGATGGTACTGTCACAAACTCGCTGTCACACATACTTGGTGTAGATTTATCTATGGTGACACTGTCACAAACTCGCTGTCACACATACTTGGTGTAGATTTATCTAAGATGGTACTGTCACAAACTCGCTGTCACACATACTTGGTGTAGATTTATCTATGGTGACACTGTCACAAACTCGCTGTCACACATACTTGGTGTAGATTTATCTAAGATGGTACTGTCACAAACCCTTTCTATCACACGTTAATGGATGAAGATATATCGCGGCTGGCATATTGTCACACATAATTACTGGGTGTAGATTTAATATGACCTGGCACTGACACAAACACACTGTCACTCATGGGTGAATATTTATCTTAACTGGAACCCACACATATATTGAATAACTGGTATAGATTATCTGAGCTGGCATACTTTCCAAAACACTTTCCGTCACACATAATTTAATGGTTGTAGATTTAACTCTAGTTTTCAGCTGGTAATAAAAATTAACTAATCAATACAAATTTATTCATTTTGATGTCAGACTGTTAAACAGAACATCTAATAAAGCCCAAATCTAGTAGGGGGGGCTTAATAGTGCTGAAATCTATAGAAAACCATGTCATGTCACTGTGTAACTATAACAGTAGCTGTGTCTCCTGATGTCTAATGAACAGGCTGTGTAGAAACAGGCCATTTCTAACCAGCTATTACATGGAAAACAGACTAACTGAACATTATTGATCTGAGCCCATTGGCTGTGTAATATAACTGCTTGTATAAGCCCTTAATCATTTCAAAAAAGAACCTGTTCGGAAATAGGTATACAGATCTTCATTTATCTAGGGACATATATATTCTACTGGATTTTTTGGTGTCTATTTTTATATCCTTTAGTAGATGTACTGCAAGTTTGTTTTGGGAGTTCTGAAAATTGGTGCGAAATTCTAAAGGTTAGAATGTTAACCTGTAGTCTTCCTTCCATGTACTTAACTCATTCACCCCTACATGTTTAAACTGGACTTACCAAGTCTTTGATTTGGTCAGGTTCAAATGTGACTTTAGGGGTGAAGGGTTAAGAAACTTAACAGATAAACTATTCTTTCAATTACTGTTTTCAATGGACTAAATGCAATGAACATTCTTCTGACTGTAAAGATTAAGAATAACATAAAATTTCAAAACACAGGAATATCCTAACCTGATAAGAGATATTTCATCTACAGATTAAAAAAATAAATAATAATATATATATATAACATGAAAAATTTCAAATATTGGAAGATTTCAATGTTTTTAAACAGAACCACTGATAGAATTATATATGGAAATTTAAAACTTGATAAAGAACATTATTAAATTGTAGATCTAGAAGTTAAGTTTATTTTTTAATAATTACACCCTTATATAATAGATTATATAATTGGGTACATTAGAGCTATTTAGCCTATAAGCTGAGAGCAAAGTTAAATACTACCCACACATCAATATTTGTGTGCCTTCCTTATAAATAAACAAGGGGCCAGTACTCCGGATGTTAGATGCACGACTTCATAAGAAGGAAAACGGATAGAAAATGAGGAACCAAACGTAGGGAGAAGACAGTTTTGAAATACAATAAGGGCAATAACTCTGAAAAATAATAATGAGACCAGTATGCTACCAAGTATCGGAAAGAGGGCCTAGTTGTCTGGACAAATCTGTATCTACCGGTACAAATGGACATTCTGATTCCAATATATCCCTGGCCTTGTTGCTGGGGGATTGTAAGAAAGACAGTGATCAAAAATATATCCATGAAAACAGTGCTCTAAGTCCTACAGTAATGTGTGATGTAGATTAAAGGCATGTTACTGTAGAAAGATCTTGCTCCAAAAGATGAAACTCATAAAATCGGGTCTAGAAATTGCCATGTATTTTTCATCACGAGTCTTGGGACACATTGCTAAGTTTTTGGTTTAAATTGATCATCCATGTCCAAAACTGTCTGTTCTATTAATGTTCTAGTTCTACAGTCAATATCCTTTCCAGTGCAGAGACGGAATAGCCCACATATAGGTACAGCCACACACAATAGAATGGCTTCTTATCCAGAGAACTTAGTCTTCAAAGTTCACAAAATCAATTCTACCCACAAATTCATGTTCATGTAAATCTTAATTAATAAAGCAATTTGTCTAAATGATACTGGGATACTATTTTGTGCAGACCAATGATTAAAAGATTTAATGTACAACAATTTCCTTGAAAGGTAGAGTATTATGTACGAAGTACATTTAGATAACTATATTCGTGTTTCTACGGTAGAAGCTAATTAACAACAAGAACTGTTTAGGGATTATCTGCACAACATGGAAAGATAACTTTAACAGTATAACTTCTGTAGTTGTGATTTCCTGATCATTAGCCTGCACCTGATGCCCAACCACAATTAAGTTCCACCATCTCAAGCGGCCTTAATTACCATGAGCCGTTCCTGCTGAACAACAGAGCTCCATTGTCAGAGACAATCCTAGAACAGCTTTGAGTTCAGGAGCTCTTGCTTTGACATTAAAAAATTCTCAATATTATATAATGAACAGCTTATAACTCTGTATGTCCCAATAATGGTTATAACTCATAAGCACAAAAGATTTGTAGCCTGCAAGCTAACCTATTTTTCCTGTTACTTTCCTGTATTCTGAGAATTGACTGAAGACGCTGTTATAACCTTGTTTAAGACATCTTTGTACAGAACACTTGTATAAAGTTTTATCCAATCAAATCAATGATGGCAGTAGTGTAAAGCAACTAATCATGAATGTGTGATGTACCTGGTATGTTACATACAAGCTGGACAAATATCTCACAATTTTAGTGTTAGCTTCGTGAAAACTTACTTCTGAAAAGTTCCTCATAATGTGGGACACATTTTTTAAGATTTGTCATCGCCCCACAAAGAAACACCCAAAAAAACCTGGTTAATCCAAATAGAGAAAAGATAACTCCAATTGTGTTCATATTGACTCCAGTCATTGACAGGTCTAAATCACAGATGGACATGGGCAATGCTACCAATCCGCATACCAGAATTTTTCATGGCGACGGCATAAAAATTAACAACTTTTGACGAGCATGCAATAGAAAAACTCATTAACTGTCTTACACAGGTCATTAAAATAGTTCATATATATAAATGCATATGAAAATGTAGACAATGTTATAGATATTTTACATGTTTAATTTTCCAATATTGTTTTGAATTTAAAAAGGATATCTAGCTGGAGAATCCCTCATTGCGTGGAGGAAATTGTCCTTCTGTGAACCTGAAAACATAGAAACAGTATTGTAAACAATTAAGAGCAATGTAATTCATGACACGAGTAAAAATACATTGATCTCAAACTTAAATATGAGATACAACTGCAAAATAAAATCTATTTATTTCTGTTAGAAAATCACGCTGATATTATTTTAATGTTGCGATCTTAGGCAATAATATATATGTATTCAAGCTGAAAATATAAAGCATGTGCTAAGCCTGTGATAATTTAACTCAGAACAACTGTTTTATGTATCAGGTGTTGGACATTAACATAACAGCTTTTACAATAAGATGAAATTGAAAATATTTGTTGTTTTAATCAGTTTTACAGAGGCACGGTACTGTCCTTGTTCCAGTTTACTCAGCTGTTGGGCAGTGCTAGAATTGTTAAATACTAGCTGTGAGCGCTGAAATGGCAGCACTGGCTGTATATGCTCCCCAGGGAGTTGAGAAAGGTATTGGCTGGTTGCAAAGGCCCTATAACCATGGATAATAATATGAACGAGGTTGTGATAAAGCGGTATATAAGAACCTCAAATTATTATTAGTAGTAGTAGTAGTAGTACACATATCACATGTATATATAATGTAGGTTTTATGAAGGCAACACTGGGTCAAATTACTGGTTTGCAGTTCAAATTCCAACATGAATATCAAATATGAGTCAAAGGTGATTTGCATAAAATCAATAGAGCAATTAAGTAGCTGTGTTGACTTTCACACAGTGTAACCTCAATGATGTCTGCAGCAAAATCTGGGAATACCATAAGGAGAAAGGTTTGTTCAGCTCACAAAGGTGTTCAGATCCCACTAAAGGTTCAACTATATCAAAATGTGATACATGTATACACTTTGTACTATGTACTAGACCTAGATGTTAACAAAAACTGTATATGGGAAATGTTTTCGCTCAGTCAAACTTTTGCCCTTTGCCACTGAAATCAATTTTTCCCTTCACATGTCATTACTATGGATATATTATGTTGTTTACTTTTAATTGCAGTAATGATCATTTTGCCCTCATCATGAAGGGGGAAAAAGGCGAAAAATTAAATTGCACTGATATTTTCCAGGTATACAGTAGTATAAATTGTTTGCTAAACCGTAGAACTAATAAACTTTTACGTCATCCAGATAAGCCTCGATTCACTTTAGACATTTTGATCTATTAATTACAAATACAAGTTTATCTTAGAATCACTTTAGACATTTTGATCTATTAATTACAAATACAAGTTTATCTTAGAATCAATGTTAATTGAAGTTGGACCACTTGCTGTTAAGGTTGTCAAACATATTGGTTTGTATTTGTGACTCAGCTTAAACGGAACACTGTATTATCTGAAAACCTGTTTAAACCAGATATCTAACTAAGTTCCATAGCATACCCGCTATATTATCATCTGAAAACCTGTCCAAGCCTGAATCTGTGAACTCAAACATTGGTTGTGGTTTTGTGCAGGCTTAATGGTACAATGACCAATATCTCATCTAAACGTTTCCAGATTACATAGAACTAGATATGTGTGATAAAACAGCTCATTCTATTGCTGCTGTCTGACCTGTTTATAACCCGGACTGACCACCCCAGTTTTAAATAATCAATAATCTGTACTTGGTACAGCTTGGATACAGAATGTAGCCTATTAAGAGATTTTACAGACAGCAGTTGATAAACTACTGTGTGTTAAGTTCGAGGATGCTCTGTTTCTGGTGCAGTGATGCAGACACAGAGCTGTGCAATATGCTGTATGGCATTACGTGTACAAAAGGTACAACGTTGTCTGGCTAGCTGATCTCCGGGGACCAGTGTACATTGTGTAGCCTCAAAACATTATCCAAACTCACTGCCATCATTTACGTTATGACAGAACTAGAAGGTTAGCATGCTGGTTGTGCCCCAAAGTCTTCTATTTGAATTTTTTCTGCATTTTTAACAACTGCTTTTAAACATATGCAAAAAAGGTAGAACAAACCTTTTTCAATTTTGTCTTTCTTTTCACTTACAACAATTCCGATATAGGTTTCCTATGATACAACACCATACCCCTTTTATAACACCAAAATATTGCTGGACAAATGACGACAGTATAACAATGATTTACCGAAGTATTTTTTCTAATTGCTCTGTTGTCTCTACAGGTAATTAACTCATTCACCCCTAAAATTTCATAATGGACAATTCCAACCTTTGAATTGGAAGAGTTCAAATGTGTCTTCAGGGATGAATGAGGTAAAACTCTTACGACAGATTTATGTATGTTAGTCTAGATAACAATACAGAAATGAAATAATTTGAAAAAAGAAAAAGAAAGGCTATTGAAACCTTAATTCTACAATGAAACGTTTAATGTAACTGGCAGTGCTTTGGATAACCACTAGGCTTTGCATATTGTACAACACACGCAAAACAATCAATATAACGTGATGCTGATCGCGGATTGTTTAACATTTATTAGATTACCAAAGCCAGAGATAAAAATGTTCTGTTGCTACATAACCATAAAAATCGTTTTTGCTTTACAAAGGAAATGGTTTGTGAAAAAGCTGCTCCGTATTATTTTTATGGGGTTTTATTCAAATTCTGCTGCATTTATGATGAAAGGGGGTGGGAGTTTGTCCGTCTGCACAATTTACACTAGTTCTTTTCTGAATTGATTTTGATGTTAATAAATATCCAGTTTTATGAAAGTAACATTACGGGAAGGAGATTATACTCTAGTGAATTTTAGGTAAAAAGTTATAGGTTCTATGTTACTTGTAATTAACTAACAGCAGAGCATCTTGTATGGATAAAATTGGAAGTTGCTCTTTAGGGCAAAAAATCTTCAATATTAGTCTTTGTTTTGCTTCAATGGTAAGCTTATCGCAGACCTAAACAAGGATACTGTGATTATTGGTACGTCCTTATTCCTTGAAGTATATCCTAACACAAGATTTATTTACCAACATAATGTAATAAATAAGTAGCAAGAGCTTAATTTGAAGCCTGAAGAATATAATACTTACGTAAAATTAAATGTGTTAGCACACAGGCAAATATGTAGATACACAGAATGGAAAGTGACAGTATAAACAAGTAAAAGTAGCGATAATTCCTCTTTCCCACACAGTTTCCTACCCAAGGGCAGTGGTGGTCGAACCGCTCTGAAAAGACACAACATTGGAAAATCTCAGTATTTTGGGAAAACCATCTTTAGGATACAGCTGAAAGAAAACATTTGTTTCCATTGCATTTATATACAATAAACTAGAAAATGTCTGTAAGACATAAATGCCCCGCCCATGGATGGGACGAGACGGGACGGACATGGGCAACACTATATGCCCCCCCATTTTATGGCAGTGGCATAATTAAGGATCTAAGCTCTATACATACATTACTATAACATCAAGTTTCCAACGGAGTTTCACTCCTATTAAGACACAGTAGAATATCTTTTGATCTATTAGTGTAAATTGTCTGCTAATTAGCTAATGGATTAATAATGCCTGAAAGGTATATGTATACAAGTAGAATAGTGACAGCATTCCATTACATCATTACAACACATTTTTATTTCATATAGTGCTAATTGCTAATTAAGATTCAAGGGAGACAACTGTAACACAAGTTATGGGCATGCTTTTCTGTACTAACTTTATTCTAATTACAGACAAAAGGCAATCATTTTAAGACAATAATGTTAAAACAATAATGTCTTCAATCTGAGAACGAAATATTGAACGATTGTGTGAAAAGCAAGAGAGAAGAAATACTCCAGTTGTACCTCAATCAGAACCATGGCGTTGCATCACTATTCTAAACACATTCAAACACAAGAATTCGAAAGTAGGTTCAATATTATATAACTAAAAGGTCTTTTCAGTACATGATCAGCCAATCAGTGTTAATAAGTATTAATTTAGACCTCGAAGAATTGACACAATCGATATATCTGAGGTCATGACCATGAGTTGTCATGCAAACTTGATGTAATATGAAGGGTTTTATTTAATGAATGCAAAAATTATGAATATCAATACTTGGTGGTTGTGAGTCAGGACACAGTTCAATATTTAAGTGATAATGAATTCAGAACAGACAGGGTGGGGCTTTTTATCATACACATCATCCACTTTGGGTTGCAGAATGTGTTGCTCAAATACATTTTTAATGTAATTCATTATCAATTCATAGCCATAAATGATAGTTGGTAAACCACATGCTGATGTAGGAAATGACTCAAGGCGACGATTTGTCATCACTGTTTCCCACTTCCATCATGATGCTGGATCATAACTAATCAATATTTATAACTAGCCACTTGACTGAAGAATGTATACTCCTGCCCAGCTCAATACTGGCTGCAGTGTCAATGTATATAATCATTTAACAATATAAAAACTCCAAACACCATTTTGTGCTCTGTCTTGTTTCTATAGATAAAATTGTACGATATGACTTTATTTTGGTTTTATTTTGTTTAACCTCTCATTACAGCTAATTAAGGTCATTTAAGGATGTAAAGGCCTACCTCCATGTGTGTAATGTATGCATGCTTGTGTGAACCAGTGCTGGATGGAACCAGGGTATGTTGGTGCATTTGCCTCCTTGCAATAGTGTGGATCTGATGCTTGCTTTAGAGTGCTTCCTCACTGACATTCCATGCCAAAGGCACCCAGCACAGTATTCCATCCTGTCACATTATACTAACAGTGGGTTAACCAGTTGTCATTATCTTTAAATACATTCATTTTAGCAATAACAACTACCACTTTTAAGGACTTTGGTATGATGTCCCTGCCTGGAGACAGAAACCAATACCTATTCTAATTGGGCAAATGTTCAACATTAAGGCCAAAAGTGAGACAAACATATTGCCAAGCAAGACACTAGGAAACAAATAAGTTGTTAGGAAATGTCTTCAGTAATGACTTGACAAGTATTACATAGTGATGAAATCAGATATGTGAAGTTAGATCATACGTATACCTGCCAAGTCACATGCATCTGCACAGGTCATCCTTCACATGACTTATCTATGTCATGTGCAGATTGTAGTATAATTTTAATATCCTGTATTTCATTGATTACATTACTACGATATTGCTACTATTTGAAGACTACCTATCAAATGCTTAAATATTGATAAGAAAAGGAATACTACCAGTAGTATATTAAGGGGCAAAGTTTGATAGTTTACATTACATACAACAGTCTACTGATTTTGTAGACTTTGAAAAGTTTATAATTACATCCCAGCAAGCAAAGTTGCAATGAACAGGCTTGATGTGCATTCTAACTCTCTAATGACCCTCATTTCGTTGTTCGGAACTTGGCAGGTATGGTAACTATGGTTTAAGAACTAGTTCTTCATTCCTTCATGACTTCAAAATGTTATACAAACCAATCAAAATAGGTGCATTACACTTTAACATAAATATATATACAAAGTCATTTGTTTGGTGAGATAGTTTGAAATGTGTAACCTTTCACCCTTAATTATTATTATCATTATCAATGCTTAACGGCCCATCAACACAGGATAGGTCATTAGGGCCAACAAATGGTCAAAAAAACCAAATGCTAAATAAAAACGTCAATCCAAACTTAAAGGTAAAAGACAAACGTCAAATTGAATATTGAAAGTGGCTATGTTGACTCCAATTTTATTAAAAAGACCAACAGCTTTTAGATAGCCTAAAATTGAAGAGACAGTGAAAAGAGATTTAAGACATGTAATGTTATTATAGAAATGTTCTCGAGTTGACTGAAGGTCGATACAATCTAGTAATAAGTGCTTTACTGTAAATTGTTCCTGACACGCTATGCATTGAGGCTGGACTTCACGTTTTAATAAATAACAATGGTTAATGTATGAATGACCCATGAATGACCCATCCAGAGACCGGCAAGGACAACCTTGTCTCAGCGCCTACAACCTTGACTGGTGATCATGATGAACTTGATATGCTACCGTAATTAATATAGAACTTGATATGCTACCATAATTAAACATGGTGTAAATTTTAAAAGATAAACCTTTACAGGGATTCATGAGATGTCTTGTACACATTTTTTTTACAATGGGCACACACAGATAAGGTTGCTTGCATTATATACATATCGCCATGAAGTGTGTGTGGGTGGGGTATGATAAAACAGATCTATAACTTAAAGTAATTCTATGTAAATATGAGGCCATGCCAAAATTGATATACATAAATATAAACCAGTCTCCACTGTGTTATACTTCACCAAACTTACATTAATATTAAGGCTCCCTAACAAAGATGAAGACTTTTAATGCCGCTATGCAGAGATAAAGAGACTGCATTAGATATAGGGAGTATAATAATAATCGTGATCCATATAAATCTTAATAGAAAATTATTAATTTACTTAGAAAACTACAAGGAAAAGATGTATATAACACAGAATGAATATTGTGATATAACGTAATCGAAATTTGACAAAAATCTGGATTAGCCTCTTAATACAGACAATTGGTGGATCACTGCTGGCATGGCATGACCGTGCCTGTATAACCTGACACCAGCATGGAAAATTCAAGCTAACAACTAATAACAGAAATCAATGAGAATCAGACGGAGCGATCTATAAATGGGAAGGCAGGTTGCAGAAACCTTATTGATTAAGATCTGGTATTTCTGGTCTTATTGATCAGACACTGAAACTTTTTCTTTGCTTCAGACAGAATCCAAGAGTTTTTAAACGGTTGTTTGTTTAAAATCAGGTGTATAACTGAATGTGCCAAATAACCTGCCTAACAAAATATTTTTAATTACGAACTATTCAATCTAGCTACTTGTGCACTGTATGACCCTGATCAAATGTAGAACTCGGTACATACTGTACAAAAATGTGATCACATAGTCGTCTCCCACGTCATACGTACAGAACATGTATGCAGGATCCGTACACAAGTTGATTTGGTTGGCATTTCACTCATAAGCTTGATGTCACAAGACATCGGATAGATCAGATGGACTTTATCAAGTCTCAGTTCCTGATTTTTCAGCCATTTAAGAAAAGGCATCTCTATATTTAACAAAAAATATTTTGTATAGACTTTCTAATTTAGCACTTAATTTTTTGAAAAAACAGAGAGAAGTAATTAGGAGGGTCCAATTTCAGTTTTGAAAGGCCCAGTCAGGGCTCAATGGACCTCTCAAGGTCGGAAAATCTTTGCAATTAAACTTAATTGATTGTGATGTCTTCACCCAAAATCCAATTTCCTCGCAATTACAAATATAAAATTTTAATTATTTATAAGATTTTTTTTATTCTCAAGTTTTATCAGATAAGAAATGTCAGGACAAACAAACGAAGCTTTAGCCAAAAAAATTCTTATACGTAAATTGATAAGAAATCAATATGATCTGGACTTGAGAATATTTTGTAGGAGAATTAAGTCTTAAGTGATTTTAATACAAAAGAACACTACAGAACAAAGTATATACAACCTTTAAAGGTTGAACAACATGTCTATGGAGAATGATGGCTTAGTATCAAGTCAGAACCTGAAACACTACAAATTCTGTATCCATATTCCAATTAACAAATAATCTGTCTTGAAGCCTTATATCATCCATGGTCTGCGATAGAGGTGTCAGAAATGTCAGGATGTTTGCATTCAAAGTCTGTGAGATTTCCTGTATCCTTTGGAGGCCTATAGCTAGAGCTACACAAATTATACCAGCATCAAGCAGTTAGCTGTGTCCTAAATTCTTCACACTGGCTTGCTTTCAGTACATGAGATTTGTGGCCATCTATATATATACAGTACATTTCACCTAATATCACATCGCTTAATGTCACTTTTCGGTTATTATCATGTTTTTTTGATGCACCGTTTTTCCTGCTATATCATCTATGCAATTCAATTCTTTTATTATCACCTGATTTTATGTCGATTTCTCTTAATATCACTTTAGTTTGGTCACAGTCACTTAACAAGAGGCCCAATGGGCCTGTATCGCTCACCTGGTATAAAACTCACACTTGTAACCTTAAAAGTGATCTAAAATAAAGCTACAGGCAAAATATCAGTATTTATGATTGAAAGTCAAACAAAGTCATTATGTTGAACACATTGTATAGCCTTTCATCTCAGGATGCAACTTGCAAAGTATAAACATCC